TGGACTTGACATATTTTTTTATTGGGAAGTTAATGCATTTAAATCTTTACTAAAATTTATTTTTTTAATAATAAAGTGAATTAATAATGACAACAACATTTTGGACTTTTTTACTTGACTGGAATATTAATGATATAATATTAAATATTAAATAAATACATACAATTTCTAACATTAATGCATTTTTACAAAATAATAACGAAATAAGCTTTTTATTATTATTATTATTGTTGTTGTTTTCTTTTACAAACAATTAATTGAATTATTTGGAAAAAAAACATTTACTAATTTATCATTCTAACAAATTTTTGTGTGACTTGTTAAAAGATTTTGTGATTTGTTTTTAATAATAATAATTATAATTATAATAATAGCTATTATTATTATTATTGATGAGTCATGCAAATTAATACCAGGTGCATTTATTGAAAACTGTAAATAGGTTCAATTTTTATTTCATATTGCCTTTAAATTTCTTCTAGTTTATTTAAAAAAAATGTATTTCATGCACATTTTTCTTTCACTCTATGTCATAAAAGTCTGTTTTTGGTGCCATGTTCCTTCAACTTACCTGATCAGCCTGAGTGACTGCAATCCTACTCATGAAATGCACACGTTTCTCAATCTCTGTTTTGCAGCACCGCCCGCAGGAAGACTGTCGCACAATCCGCTCAATCTCTCTCTCTCTCTCTCTCTCTCTCTCTCTCTTCCCCTCCAGATGTACAGCACATTAAGCGCAGAGACATCGTGCTTAAGAGGGAACTGGGCGAAGGGGCCTTTGGGAAGGTGTTCCTGGCAGAGTGCTACAACCTAAGCCCCACTAAGGACAAGATGCTGGTGGCTGTCAAGGTAAGAGATGATCCCTCCATTCCAGCAGGGCCGTGGCGCTCTCCAGTTACACAGGACTCATTCCAAAGGTCAAGCCCTTTTTTTCACCCCCCCTCGAATGACATATGAAGTTGATCCCCCTGTGCCCACCAGAGAGGGCTTTCTTTCGGGGAATGATCGCGAGACGTTTTGGTGGTGGAGGATTTGTTGACTAAGATCAATGATGGAAAGAGCTCTGCTGTGCTCTGAGGAGAGATCAGCTACAGTTGCGTTTAATATTTGCCATTGATATAAGGTTTGGGAGGGTATTAAGATATTGCAGTGCTGTGGTTTAGTCTTCATAACATAGACAGAGAGGAATGAGTCACCGCTGTGGGCAGACAGTTCCTGGATAATGCTTTAACATGGTTTACCACATGGGACTATTCACCAAGGTCAAGGAACTCAGCGTCCAGTGGGCTGAGGTGCTCTATTGAAGACCGTCTCTAGATCAGTGATGATCTATAAGTGCGTCAGTTTTTCTGTCAGTTTAGAAATGTCAACGTTTCAAGGTTTCACAAATGCTGACTTGTTGAAGTATGAAGTCAAACTTATAGTATTTTGTTGTGAAAATTTTAAAAGAATTTTGAGTTTGCATTTCGCAATTCTGACTTTTTTTTTTTTCTATAACACTCTATTTGGGTTATATATGTCTAGTCATAATGTTACCTGCACACAGTTCTCCCATGTGTTCCCCTTTTTCATCATCTTTGAGATGATATTGGATATTGATATGATATTTAGTTCAGGTCAGCTGGAGAATAAATCTGGAACAATAATACTGTCTGTTAGTGATGGTTTATCATCCCTCAAAGCATATTATTCTGGAGACGCTGTAATCAAGAACGATGGAGCTGACGTTTTCTTTCTGATGGTGTCAAAAGAAGAATCTCATGTGCAGAGGAACACAAGCAGCTACATGCCCTGCTTTATTACTAACCCATGGGAAGTAAATCACAAATAAACTCACTAATATCTAAATGTTTTCTTGTAGAAAGCAATGAAATTACATAGAGAGCAAGTGTCATGCTTCTCAGATTTTTCAATTCTAAGAAAAAGGATTGGAGGACTAGTAGTGCCACTAGGTACAATGAAATGATAAATTATTAACTCACTTGTCAACCTGACACATAAATAGACAAATTTATATATTTATTTAATTCATGCTTGTATTCATTTCTTAGTCCATTTTCCAACTGCTTTTTCCAAAGGCTCCATTAATATTAAAAATATCTGATGGTTCAGAATAAATCCCAAAGATGTCTTTCATTAGTCTAATATGAAAGATATTAAAAAGTCTCCAATCGAAAGGCAGAGATCTCATTAAATACATTTCTGTTCTTGGAGGAACCTGAGAAATGAGTTTGAGCTGCAAGCCATTTCATTTTATACCTCTATACTTACACTGTCTTTCAACAATGGTGTAGTTTTCATCTATTTTTAATTCACCTAAGGAACTCTAGGAGAAACATCTGGTCTGAGGCAGAGTTGACACCTAAATGTGTCTCCTCAACTTTGAAAGAGCAGCCTCTGAGTAATAAAACATTCTTCTGGGAAGCTGCTTGGCTTCGTTGGCTTCATGGAGCTCTATCACAGCAGCTGCTGTTTGAAAGCCGTCCAACTCAAATTCAGAGGTTAAGTTTTTCCTTGTATTTTGGCCAAATAGCTGCCAGCGTCTCTCTCGTACCTTTGCTCTCCCCCATCTCCACCTGATGCCCAAGACCTCCAGACCCTTATTACGAGTGAAAGCCCCCCAGGTGGTGCTGGATTTGTCCCCTCTGCTCTCTTCAACCTGTGCAGGTGGCCAATTTCGCAACACAGGGGTAATAAAGCATTATGGATAGGGATAGATACCTCGCCATCTGCGAATTGGTTCTCTCATCCATCTCCAACGCATGAACCTCTTTGCAATTCCTGATATGGATTAACCCACGGTAGCTCTAATTAAAATTAAACTGCGAGCTCTGAGGGCGAAACGCAATTATAACATAATTGAAGGAGCGATTCCTCACAAACACACTGCGATGCAAGTATCACGGCCAAGGCCGCAGAGGGGGGTTATTTTTCCGTGAATGACGGGATATAAGATGACAAAAAAACAGATGTGTACAGGCAACTATTTAATCTTTCAGAAAAGACAAAGACAGGCACAAACAAATCAGAGACGGTCATTTGTGCATCTTCCTTGAGTGCATCGCCCTGAGGTTTAGTCCATGAATATGTGCCTTGAAAATTTTGAAAAATATATGATCTGTTATGAAATGTGTTACATGAATAATTGAAAGTACTTTGGACATCTATAATATCTGTGCAGTATTTGTGTTAACTCATCTAGGTTTTGATTATGCATTTAAATCTATGTCAATGTTTTAAGGTGTCCCAGATCTGGATATTTATATTTTGTTGTGGATATTTCCCTGATAGATTTAAAGCACTGTGCAATAATAAATATCTGTGCAATAATATTTGTCAACTCATCTACATTTTGATTATGCATTAAAGTATATTGTCAAAAATAGCTCTGCATGCTCAATTGGTTTGTGGCATATTGTATGTTTGGGATTCATAAACCATTAGAGACAGAACCGTTTAGATCCAGATTAGTTGGAGCGGTTAGTCTCATTAACCTGATTAATTGTTCACTTGAATTATTTATTACCGACTGACTCATTTAAGCTCCCTTAATTAATTTACTTGTACCAAGAGTATCAAAAAAAAATGTGCAAAGGCACATTTAATTCATGGATATACACAATATTTCCAATCATATTAATGATTTGTTTTTGAAATACGGATTTTAATTTCACTTTTTAATAGCAAAGGCACATTTAATTCATGGATATACACAATATTTCCAATCATATTAATGATTTGTTTTTGAAATACGGATTTTAATTTCACTTTTCCCCAAAATATCTTTGGTTTCACCCACAATGCATTAGTATCTGGCTATTATTGTGGTTATCAGACAATAAACTGGCCACCTTATGTGTCTACACAGACTCTGAAGGATCCCACCCTTGAGGCGAGGAAAGACTTCCAGCGGGAGGCCGAGCTGCTGACCAACCTTCAGCACGAGCACATAGTGAAGTTCTATGGCGTCTGCGTGGACGGAGACCCGCTTATCATGGTTTTCGAGTACATGAAACACGGAGACCTCAACAAGTTCCTCAGGTTTGTGGCTGTTATAATGCAGTAATCTTTGTGCTTTGCTTGTGTAATGATGAAAATGAAATTCAATGAAAATACAAAGCGAATCAGTTATTATTGATTGAGGTCACAGACCAAGTGTAACATAATTATAGAACCACTGAATTCCGATGTGATGCTCTGGGAATTCTATAGTCTTACGAGACCAGAATTTCTCAACCAGAAGTTTGTGATGGAATTGTGGTGGGTTATGATTATGACAGAATGCCAAATTAATTTTAAAATATATACAGTACATTTTTAATTAAATGTTCTAAATGAGAACACAATATAACACAGTATATGGGTAGTTGATGCTTAACATGTCCATTAACCTTTATTTAATCTATCAATATTTTAGAAATGTACTAGAAATACATTTTTACCAGTGCCGGCGCGCGCTGTAGCCTGTATCCTTTCATATCAAAGTGCGAAATAAACTACGTGCATGCAATGTCATGGTCAGTTAAGTCATGAAGTTACCAAAAAGGCGATTAAAGCTGCCTTAAAACTGTGCATGCAGGTAATATATTTTATATGAGTCACATTTAAGAGCATGTCTCTGAAATGGTTTTCAAAACTGTCCTGAAGCAGCCCAGCACTGTCTTACTCATCTAATACACCCGATTTAACTCGTCAGCTAATTAATAGAGACTTTAAGACCTGAAGTGGGTCAGAAAAGGTAAAAAGAGTTGGTTTTATAATGGGTTTATGTGAAGATTGTTTTAAGTTCACTTAAATTAGAAGTATTTTTTTAAAGTCTAATAAATGTTAAAATTGATAGCTCTGAATTATACTGTAATGTTGAATGGCTAGTCATGTTGAACAGTCAATGGTTAAATATTAGGGAGGGGGGGGCAATTTTATATTGGTATCATTGATACTGGCCTTCAGTCATAAAAAAGATGCCATTAAACAAATATAAAAAAATATACTGTCTTTATGTTGTTTGTACATTCATTTGAAGATTGAATGTGAAATTATTGCAATATAAAAGTATATTTAAAAACTTAGTATTAGGTGGGATTAATCGCGATTAATTTCAGAAAAATGTGTGATTAATTTGTTACTTTTTTTAATCGATTGACAGCACTATATATAGGTCCTGAAACTGGTCAATTTAATTTAGGTTTTCTAATGTTTTTTTGTTTTTTTGTAAGGATTGCAATGGTACAGGTACAGTTCTGCTCGTAAGTTTATATACCCCTGCAATTTTCCTTCTTATTTTGTTAACATTTTGCATATTCTGCAAGATGTATGTAAACTTATGAGCAGAACGGTATATATTGCACAAAAATGTTGGAAATTTCAGTGTCTTTAAAGGCCAATTCAAGGTTATTATTTTTTTATTTTATTTTTTTTTAACTAAAATGGTTGGGAAGCCTTGCATTAGAATGTTGCATAAACCATTTCAATGCTTGTCGTTTTCTTGTCGGTGTGATGTAAAATCCAGCGTTGTGATGTCAGCAGGGCCCATCTGACTGTGATTGATAGGTTACAACCTTCCTCAGAGGTATTGTACAAGCAAAAGGAAGCGGATACAAAAGTGTACATGGTTTCTGACAGAGCCCTGACGAAAAAGCAGAAATTGCTTTTTCTTTCCAGCCAGCAGAATTATGGGGGATAACAGGTTTTGTCAAAACTGCTTTATACATAATGACACTATAAGGCGATACATTTGTGAAAGAGCAGAGAAACTGGCAGGGATGCATATTGAATCATACAGTACACGTTTCCTTTGAAGAAGAAAGTAATCTATTGGTAACTTTCATGTATATTGCACTGACATATAATGGCGGCATTGGCTTATTCTAATTTCATATTGATTGTTTCGTTATGTATTCATGAAAGTTTTCGGTTTGGTTTAATACTCATCTAATGTACTGCAAAATTAATTTTTAAGTGTGTTGTAAGCATCCAAGTACTTTACAGGACTGAAGTGACAGAATTGAAATCCTTATTTTATACTTTTCAGAGCTCATGGTCCAGATGCAATGATCCTGGTTGACGGAGAGCCGCTGCAGACCAATGGGGAACTGGGTTTGTCTCAGATGCTGCACATAGCCAGTCAGATCGCTTCAGGGATTGCCTACCTGGCGTCTCAGCACTTTGTGCATCGTGACCTGGCCACACGCAACTGCCTGGTGGGCAACGGGCTGCTGGTGAAAATCGGAGACTTTGGAATGTCAAGAGACATCTACAGCACTGACTACTACCGGGTAAGAGTGCTTTCGCTTTTGTAAATGCTTGAGCGAAGTACACTACCAGTCAAAAATTAAGTTAGTAGGAATATATAATGCTTTCTGAAAGAAGTCTCCTATGCATCTCACAAAGGCTGCATTTACTTGATAAAAAATACGGTAAAAACAGTAAAATTGTGAAATATTATTACAATTTAAAAATGTATTGCATTATAAAATGTAATTTATTACCGTGATAGCAAAGCTAAATTTTTCGGCAACCATTACTCCATTCTTCAGTGTCACATGATCCTTCAGAATCATATCACATATCTTAATATTATCAATATTAAAAGGAAAGTTTTTGCTGAATATATTTTTGGAAACTGTGATTCAATAGTTCAATAGTAATGATTCTATTCAATAGTTTGGGGTAAGAAATTTATATGTTGTTCATTAAAATTATGAAAAATCATATTTATTGAAATATCATGGTTTGCGCAAAAGTATTAAGCAGAAAAATAAAATAAAATAACAAGCATTATTAATATGTGAGCACCAATAATAATTGATAATAATTGAGCATCAAATCAGCATATTAGCATGATTTCTGAAGGATCATGTGACACTGAGGCAGTCTGAACCTGTATTTAGTTCATTGATTAGTCATCAAATATCCACAAAACACAAATGAACCCTTTGTCAATTGGTGGCCTATGCTAGATCCTTAATTGCATGCATAATTACTCATTTTAATGACTTTTGAAAAGTTATATTGATATATCCAGCTGCTTTAGTGCTTTGAAAGACGTTAATTAATTTGTTTATTTACAATCATTAGCTTAGTCATACCAAGTGTTAATTAAGAACAAGGTTTAAAAAAATCTGTATATTTGCTAATTCAAGTTAATTTCAAGGTATTAAAAATACTAGCATAAATACAAACAAACACAGCCCATTAAACATTTGACCAACATCTAAATCATACACACAGCTCTGAATACAATCTTTAATGAGCTATGACCATTTATTAGGTATTTAAAAACTACATTTTAGATGTTAAAAGAACTAATTATCATATTCTTGATTTCCAAAAATAACTTTGTAGATGAGGATTCACAACTGCACTCTTAAAAATAAAGGTGCTTCATGATGCCATAGAAGAACCTTTTTGTCTAAATGGTTCCATAAAGAACCTTTAACATCTGAAGAACCTTTCTGTTTCACAAAAGGTTCTTTGTGGCGAAAGAAGGTTCTTCAGATTGCAAAAAGGTAAGAAAGAGATGGTTCTTTAAAGAACCTTTGACTGAATGGTTCTTTGTGGAACCAAAAATGGTTCTTCTATGGCATCGCTTGAAGAACCTTTTGAAGCACCTTTATTTTTAAGAGTGTATATTAGATTTAAATTGAATGATTATAGCTTTAAAGGGATTTTTTTCGATGAACTATTCCTTAAAAGTTTGAGTGTGAATTCAGACTTTTATCTACAGTTCTGATTCATTCAAGCTGGTTGGCTCAATTATGTGCTTCAGATCCATTTGCGCTTCTACAGAAGATCCTCAATCAGAATCTTGTCTTTTCTTGACACAGACAGAGGCCTCTCGGTAGATTTGGCCTAGATGACAGAGGGCTCAATTTGCAAGCTGAGGGCCCTAAATGAATTAAAATGTATGTCTTCACTTAGCGCTCAACAAGAGGATGAATGAGGTGACGCTGAATTTACAGAGCTCCCCTTTCGCTCGACTAGATTAAGTTGATTTGAACATGATTGTTCATCTCGCTGCTTTGAATGTGACTCCCATTTTTAGGGCACTGAAGTTAAATGAGAATTTTTCTCACTGTCAGAAGTCAAGGAATAACTCAGGAGCCAAACATAAAGCAAACGGCTCAATTAGCATATATTCAGATGTTATCGGTGGCTTGTGCTGGACTGTTGAACTGGGGAGACGAATGCCATACTATATACATTATTAGAAACAAGCTACATCAAAAATCTAAATGTGTTTTTATTAAGCATTAAATTAAAATTATTTTCATACAATATTTTTATATTGTATTATTATTTTTATTTTTTTATTAATTTTTTAATTTTATATTATTATTCAATAATAATAATAATAATAATAATAATAATAATAATAATGTTTTGCTCTTCTGTTGCTCGACTAGATTAAGTTGATTTGAACATGATTGTTCATCTCTCTGCTTTGAATGGGACTCCCATTTTTAAGGCACTGAAGTTAAATAAGAATTTTTCTCACTGTCAGAAGTCAAGGAATAACTCAGGAGCCAAACATAAAGCAAACGGCTCAATTAGCATATATTCAGATGTTATCGGTGGCTTGTGCTGGACTGTTGAACTGGGGAGACGAATGCCATACTATATACATTATTAGAAACAAGCTACATCAAAAATCTAAATGTGTTTTTATTAAGCATTAAATTAAAATTATTTTCATACGATATTTTTATATTGTATTATTATTTTTATTTTTTTTGTATTATTCAGTAATAATAATAATAATAATAATAATAATAATAATAATAATGTTTTTGTTGTTTTATGCAGATTATATTACAAATTGTAGTATTTTGTGATTAGTTTGTTTATATATAGATTAATTTGATTATTTATTAATGATATGTGTTAATATTTATTATAGCATTTTTTTTTTTTACATTATTACATTGTGATGACAAGCATATGGGAGACAAAAAAATGGATATCCAATCTTGGACATTGTGAAACCGACTGAAAGCAAGAAAAGATTGTGAACACTTTAGAGGAAGAGGGAAAAAAAAAACATATGACCAAAAAGCAGAAGCTGTTTATGGACTTATGCCTCAGAAAATAAAATATTTCTAAATGCAGAACCTTAAGTAGACATGGGTTGTTGCTGTGCCTAGAGCATCAGTCCTAATTGCAATGGAGGAAATATGTTACATTAACAGTAAATGTCAAATAGACCATTGCATCTCATCTCACTTAATATATTCTGTGGCTTACTTTCTTTTAATGGCACTGTGAAATGGCAGATTGCACTCTGCAGCACAAAAGAGACGGCATTAAATTTAACGTTCCCAACAAACAGGAAGTGACCCAAACCCAAAACATTGTAAGGGAAACAGGTCAATTTAGCTCAAAGGGAATCATTTAAGATTTTAAGGGAATTTGGACAGAATCACTGTTTTACGGCTGATCACTGAGACGGCCAGCGAGTCATTGAACGAGCCGTATAACATCAACTCGGTGGATATTAATGGATATTAATATCCAAAATATAGTGAAAACACTATTAATTAGCACAGTAACAAGATCGGCAGTTTAAGACATTAACTTGTAAGCACAAAACACAAGATACTTCTCTTTTCAATATAAATAAGGCTTTATTGGATAAATCTAAGACATATAAACTAATCTAACACATAAACACACGCATTCACACAAGTTGCAGAAAGAGAGAAAGTGAGGAAATAATTAGTTTAAGACGATGAAAATGTGAAATCCCAAGTTTACAGCAATATGTGCAATTGCATAGATCTGAACAACCATCAATCACTTAATTAACCCTCGCATTGAGTTCCTCACTGAGGTTAAAATTTATATTAAATGCACCAGTTCAGCTAGAATCTGGAGGTACTTGCGTTGTGTGCGGGGCTCCCTTCCTTGTCTGGTTGCCGAAAGGGGTTTCCTGCGGTCGCTGATTGGCTGGAAGTTCAGTCTTGGGAAGCCAGTGGTTGGGCGTTGGCTGACGACGCGGAGCTGTGGTCTGAAGTTCTAGTTGGTTCAGGCTTGTGGGGCCAAGATCTGACTTATGAACATCCTGTGTCTTGGGTCTCTGTGGAATTTGGCTCCTCATGTTTCATCCATGTTTTGACCAAATCTTAGATTGTCTGATTCGGTCTGATACCCTACAACATACATGCGGCTGCGAGGCAATTTGCATTGATGCATAAATATGAGCAGCATGAGATATATATACAAAATATTACATCAATACAAAAAAATCTATTGATGAACAAATAGTTCAAATTAAAATTTACATCCATTTTTTTAATTTAATTTTTTAAGGATTGTTTTTAGGATTATTATTGCTATATTTTTATTCTTATTATTTTCTAGCATTATCATAAAGCTGTACTGGATTCCTTTGAGTCAAATCTGCCATGCAGAATGCTATATTTGCCATTGCTGCCTAGGTAGAGTCACTTTGCTATTAGTTAGCTGTCTATGTAGGAAGCACCTCATTAGGTTTCGGAATCAGAGCTTTTATAGCTATTCGGATTTGAATATCCTCAATTTTCACATGAACACAAACCTGATATGCAGGTCTGTCTTAGTAGATTCCAACTGCAATAGGCACATATGTCTCACATCTCTGAACAGATATAAACCAAAGTGGCATCCAGCAGCACATCTTCTCCGACACCGCTGACATTCTGACGTGTTCATACTGTAGAAAGAACCTCTAAAGGTGGTCTCCTAGGAATGAACGCCCAGAGTCAGTTTTCAGCCTGGCTTCCTCATCCATGTAATGATTGTGTCATATAATCTCACTTGCAGAAGGTGGAGAAACTACGGACTATTTGGAGTCGCTCAGGTTTTCTTTGTCAGAGTAAATTTGCGCTGAAGGCCATGAACCAAACACCCCAATTCCCTGCCAGCAATATCTGACAGAGCGAAGTCGAGCTACCTTGCTTCAAATGTCTAGGGCTAGCAGGTTCTCCTATGAGGTTGAAGGACTTGAATACTCCGTTAATTGAAATAAATAATACAATATATATTTATTTACTTATTTATCTGTTATTGCATCTTCTGAAACCATCTAGTGAGATGGAAAACTGCTCAAAATTCCAATCACGTGTCTATTTTCTCGACGCTCTTTCACTTCTGACAAGCACTCGTTTAATGACATCATCTCTCGTCAGCTGTTCATTGAAACAAACATGCTGTTGATCTTAATATGCATTAATTACCACTATGTGATTCCCATCCTCCTCGTCTCCGATTCTTCGCCCCTCCAGTCTCTAATTGTGTT